CACATATTGATATTTTTCATCTCATTATTAGCACATAACAATGAAGCTGAATATATTTAGACTAATACTGTATCCTCTGTTAGATCCCACAGAATACTGTATGTACAGTCTTTCTTGGATCCATTTAATGTTAACCCTATAAATTGGTTCCTGCATGAGTAAAATATTTATTTTATTTATTTATATATACAGAACAAGAGTTCTTACATTCTTGTAAAGTCACTAGCACGCATAGCATTTCAGGCAGGTCCTTAGTCCTCCTTTTCCCCAGAATACGACCGCCAAATTGTTTAACAACCAGGTATCCATTCACTGCCGAGTGAACAGAGGCTCCAGTTAAGGTTTGGTGCCCAGTCAATCCTCTATGGCCAGGATACGAACCCTGGCAAAAGCACTCGCGAAGCGCCGGACAAGTGTCTTACCACTATGCCATAGGAACTGCTTCACCATATAACTATTTAAATTTATTATCAACATAAACAGTATAAAGTTGTTATTCAACTATTTAAATATCATTCACATTAAAACTAAATTATATAATTATATGAAATAGTTTTTCACTGTTGGGGATAGGATGTCTGTATTTAAACATTTTGAGGTCCAGCCCACAACACATGCCCAACTCCTGGGGCACCAATTTACTGCTAAGTAAAAAAAATCACATCAGAGAAAAACATGTTCATCTGTCTCTCTCCTACTGGGGAAGTCGAACCCAGGGACCCATGGTTGTGAGCCGGCAGTCAGTGTCAGTAATTCAAACCACTGCAGTCGACCTTCCCAGGTATATCACAATGCCTTCATCACCAGACACATCAAATATTGCATTTCCATCACTTGCATTAAATCCATATTAACAAACTGATGATGCCATTGACCTATCTCTTAGAAAACGTGTGGCTTCGACTAGCACCATAGTAACTAACTCACTAGCATATTGTCACCCACTGTTACTAACACACTCAAGCCACCTCTCTCTCTCCTCAACGTTATTATCTTCCAGAATCTCGACTAGTATAAGTTAAATTCATTTTATTGACTTCTCGCAACCGTCAGTTAAATATTCTTCTGCAGTAGTTGAAGGTTTGTTGTCGTTGCGGTGAGTGGAGAAGTTGTGCGTGTTAACGAGAGGTCAGCGAGGGTGACCAAGTACTGCCCGTCACAGTGAGAGGCGAGAGTCACCAACACTAAGGAGCCACTTAACACTGTGTTGTGACGGCAGACGGCCTCGCCGGCTCGCTTGGCTTCCTGCCACCTCACACGTTTTCTCTGGTGGCCCTCCCGGATACACTCAAGTATAGTTCAATTTTAAATTTTGCCCCGAGAAGCGAGTTTATTGGGCAGCGCCACTCATCTTGTAAGTGGACATACCGCCATAGCAGCATGTACAACACTCCCCGAAAGGAAAACAACTCGCTGGGTTGTTCATGCTGTCTCAAGTTTGTCTGCTGTTTGTTGACCAAATTGTATTTTTGTTTTTTTTCTGCCATTTCCCCCCCCCCCCCCATTTTTTTTTTATTTTTTCTCAACACAATTTATACTTTAATCTAAGTTAGTATTAAGTTTTAGTCTTAGTGTTTTTCCTGCCCGAAACGCTTTGCGTAATAGTGGCTTTAGGCATTGTATGTACTAGCTCTGTCTATAAATCCATCAACTTTTGTATTTCACCTTGTATGTATGTACTTTACCTGAATAAATATTTGTATTTGTATTTGTATTTGTAAGTATAATTTTGCTTAGGTTGAAGAACACTGACTTTTGTCGCCAGTGGCAGCTAGTTTTTTGTGCAATACATACTCATCCTGTGAGGGGTAGTTTATTGTGTACTCAATACTCATCTTGTGAACAGTAGTATATTGTGCACCCCATACTCATTCTGTAAACGATAGTTTAAACCCTATACTAATCCTGCGAGCGATAGTTTATTGTGCGAATAGGACTTAAACATTTCCCAGGTAGGGAGGGAGGTTAGGTAAATTTGAAGCAAACTTGGTACCCTCAGCTATTGAAAATCTCACTACAGAAGGAAAATACTCATAAATGCACAAAACCTAAAACATAATTATTTATTTTTTATATATACAAGAGTTCTTACATTCTTGTATTCACCTAGTTGTGCTTGCGGGGGTTGAGCACTGCTCTTTCGGCCTGCCTTTCAACTGTCAATTAACTCTTACTAACTACTAACTAATTTTTCACACACACACACACACACACACCCTTCCCTTGAACCCCCACCCCAAAATCCTCTGAGACCCTGCAAACCATCTCACAGATCTTCTCACACAGGGTACACCTTTCCCCACCAGCAGAACGCTGGTGGGGAAAGCTGAGAAAATGAATGGGAGGGTTTTGTTAGTGGACTTAACCTGCATATTCCTCTGCCAAAGCCTGGAAAGGTATAAACAAAATTATTGGTAAAAATAATAGACAAGTTTCACATCCAAACCCGCTACAGAAAGCCAATCAGTTAATTACAAAATGGGCTCAGGTTTCCAGCTTTGGAATGTTACCAGCTAGCACTTGGGAGAAATTGCAGGCGAGGTCCACAGACAGAAATGCTCTCATAAATTTCACGTTGAGCAAGTAACATGATGAATGTGATGTTCCATATTATTGTACCTGTACAGTAAGACTGGCCAACCTGAAGCTTATCGTCCCATCTCACTCACCAGTTGCATGTGCAAAACCTTTGAGAGAATGGTGCTTAATAGATTATTGTATAGAGTTAAAGAGCACAGTAAAGTAAATAACGACCACCCCCACACCGCCCTCACGACCACCCCCACACCACCCTCACGACCACCCCCACACCACCCTCACGACCACCCCCACACCACCCTCACGACCACCCCCACACCACCCTTACGACCACCCCCCACACCGCCCTCACGACCACCCCCACACCACCCTCACGACCACCCCCACACCGCCCTCACGACCACCCCCACACCGCCCTCACGACCACCCCCACACCACCCTCACGACCACCCCCACACCACCCTCACACCACCCTCACGAACGCACCGTAAACGTAGTGAAGGAAATTGTTGGTCCACACAACTTTCTATTTTCAAGGTTGTGAAGTGAGCCGGGCAGGTCAACCAGGTCAGTATTATGTGGGTTGTTGCCTGACTCCACTCACACAACTTGACATTAACAAGTATGTGGCCTTCAGTGATATCAGAAAGTTAAAGAAAAGTTGATAGAAATTAATTGTAAACATTAAAAAGTTTGAATTTTTCCATTCTTGACAAGTGAAAATTTATATCTCTTTACTATAACAGAAAATGTATATCTGTGTGTCTGTTCAAAGTTGGAGAGAAGAGGCGTGCCACAGGGCAGTATACTTGGGCCACTCTTTCTCATTTGCATCAATAACCTCATAAATGTCCATGAACACCCGAAGCCAGTTCTATTTGCTGATACACATCCTTCATTTTCTTCCATGTTAACCATCTTATACCACTTATTTTGGTGAAAGGAAGCAGTAGAACAACAGAAGTACACTTACATCGCATCAGGCTTGGATACCCATGTGCATGGGAAATAGGCTTACAGGTTCCTGAAGATGAGAGGAAATGTCAACACTGTGGAGAATTGCCCGACAGACCACTGGAACATTATATAACACAGTGCACAGTTACAAACACAATAGGATTTAAACTTAGATTCAACAGAGCAGAAGTAGTTACGGCCCTTGTGGATTTGTCCAGAAGAAGTTGTTAAACACATGGGGCATAATCTTACTGAAGCGACGATACGAGTCATAAATACTTATACTCCGCCTAAGTAAAATAAAAACAAGTAACACTTAGTGGGCCAGCTAGAGGCTTAGGACCCGCGCAGAAGACTGCAGAATTTTTCACTCTGCAAAAAAAAATCTTATTAGCTAGTCTATATATAATTATTATATCAACAATAGGTTCGAGAATGACCATAATTACTGCGACAAAGCCAAACAACTTACATAAGTTAAGAAAAAAATTCTTTTTATAATATATTTTATTTTAATACAAAAATAACCAATAAATTGGTGTTATCAGCATATATAAAACCAGCGAACTGGAGTATGATGTGGACAAACACACCTTCACAAAAAAATGCAAAGTAAATCGAAAGAAAAACAATGATTATAGGAAAAGAAGTGTCGCTTGAACACAAGCGGCTCTCAGTAGAACAGCACCATTGTTATAATATAACCAGCCAGTAAAACACACACAATAACGTTTTACTGTGCATAATTAAGGGCACAGTTCTGAACCTTCCGTTTAAAGTTTTCAAGTTATTTTCGTTGAGTTTCTCACATAATTATTAGGAACATAAATAAATACAGAACAATGAAGATTCTGTAATATTCCCCCAGGCCGGGACCTGACATTGTCAGTCAAGTCTGTAATGGCCGGATTTAAAAAACAGTTATTGATAAACTCCGTGGTATGCCATATTTTATTTTTAGAAGAATGTGTGTTACGGTCATATGTAGGCAAGAAATTTGTTTATTGCCTCCCCTCTCTCACGTGAACTGGTCCTTTCCAGGATTGTGTGATTGATTGATTGTTGAAGATTGTGTCACACGAGAGGTGGCACGGGAAAGCCCATAAGCTTTCCAGGAGATCTCAGGATATGTATATAGTCCTACCATATATCCCGGAGTTCAATCCCCGACTGTCTAAGTGGTTGGGCACCATTCCTTTCCCCCGTCCCATCCCAAATCCTTATCCTGATCCCTTCTAAGTGTTATATACTCGTAATGGGTTGGCGCTTTCTCCTGATAATTCCATTCCATTCTTACCATATATCCAAGGATACGAGGCCGTTAACCTTCCAATCCGTGTTCAAAGATCGCTATTAAGATAGAACACATGTCATTGCTTTAAAAACAAATGTCCAGAAACTTCATCAGATGACGTCTGTATGTAGCTCTGGTCCCTCCTTCCCACGGATGTTACCTGTAGTGACCTGTCTAACACTGTAGAGGACACAGTGTTAGACAGGTCGCCACACCACATCACGAGGACACTATAGTGACCTGTCTAACACTGTAGAGGACACAGTGTTAGACAGGTCGCCACACCACATCACGAGGACGCTATAGTGACCTGTCTAACACTGTGGGCCGCCCCGTACACACACCAAATCACCAGGACACTATATCTGCTCAGACAGTCTTGTTCTATATAGTCTTGGCACGTTCCCACATTCTTATATAAGATACTTATCTAATGTCTAGAAACTGGTAAGCACGATATACATATATACTATAAACATAATTAATGACTTGCAAATATGTGTAAATATTATCATTCAGCCATGGCTGTGGAAAGGGTTACAGAGGCACATAATGAGCTTATAGACTGAGCACCAAAATTCATTTAGCTAAGCAAGTTACAGTCTTGATAAGCTAATTACAAAATTTAATGTTTATTGTTATATCATCAATGGGTTCGAGACCAAACAGTAGTCTCCATCCAAAGCAACTTACATTTGTGGAGAACTAGTGTCCTAACTGATATGTTTATCCTGTACACCGCAATTCCCCCATCCAGTGGGCGGTGGTGGATAGGTTACTTGTAATGAGGTTTTAATACACAGGGAGCTGTTGCACGCCCCACAGGAGAGCCCACTTGCACTGTACATTTGCCTCACAACAAGTGCGAAGTAATGACCATTGAACACAACGAACCTCTGGTGATGTGAAATCATAACAAAGAAACACATGTTCCAGAGGTAAGGTACTTTTGAGAGGAAAGTGCTAAGCAACTAGTAATATACAGCATTTGGAAGGGATATGAGGACAAGGAGCGGGTTTACGACGATGGAATGGTGTCCATGATCTAACGCCGACCTGAGACCGTCGCTGTCGAGAGCGAGACCGTCGCTGTCTTTACCAGTCTAAGTTCCGGAGAGCATCAGTGGTGGTAGAATGGTGGACGTGAAGGGTAGATGTCCGCCTCGTGGGGTGCCGGGACCTTGAGACTGAGACGTGGGCGGCGGTCGTCCCCCCTCAGTATTTCTACACTGTCGCCGTCGTGGAAGCCCTGCAGGTCATGTGTGCCGGGGGCGCGGGACTGTCGGTTTAGGTAGTAGGTCCTGGTCGGCAGAGGCAGTATGTTGTGCTGAGGAAAAGTGGAAATGTCTTGGTGCTGACGTGAGTGAGTAGGGACGTCTGTGTGTGGAAAGGGTGAATTGGAGTGCTCTTGTGGTCGTGGTGTATAAGGAAGGAGGACAGGGACGAGGTGTGACCTGCCCAGGGCTTGGATGTAAGCAACAGCTTTTGCGTCAGGACTGTAAAGCGTGGTGTGGGAAGCAGGGCTGTCTTCAGCTGTGTATTGGTACACTGACGTTGGTGTGTGGTCCTGGTAGACTGTGTGAGGAGTCATGGCGTGACTGTTCGTGGCCTTGGTGGCGGTGGCAGGGGCGCCGGGATAGTTACTGGGAGAGAATGGTTGCCTGTTTCTGGCCACCACTGTCCTCATGAACCCATTATCCATCACGTGGGAATTGGTCACGGGTGTGGCGAGGAGTGTTTTGGGCGTTGTGGCAACTGGTGGGGCGGGCGTGGTCGTGAGTTGCTTCACAATATTGTAAGTGTGTGTGTTTGTGGAGTGGGTGGCAGCGGGAGTGGTAGAGAAAGGAGGTGGAGCTAGGGTGGATGCCCGCCCTTTCTCCACCACCAGTCTGAAGGGGTTGGGGGAGGCGGTGGTCACGTAATTATGGAAGTGCAACTTTTGGTCTGCGAGAGAAGCGAGGACAGGCTGAGTACTAGGGTAATGGCCACTTGCGTGCGGTCGCGGACTACTGTGGGCGGGGTCGCGGACTGGGTGCGAGTCGTGCACTGGAAAGTAATCCGGTCCCTGATGGCTTTCCTGATCTTGTGCGAGGCGCGGCGCTGGCTCCACTATACCGACACTCGACTTCTTGGTTGGAGTGATGGGCGTAGTGTGCGTCTTTTCTTCCCCCTCATAGTTGACCTCTGCTCTGAAGCCCATGTCGTCAGCAACGTACGTCACCACTTGGATGCGACCGTCTGGCAGCGCTACCTGTGGGAGAAACCCAGAACTATGGTATTGCCAAAACCGGTAACACTGTTCATCAAATATCTTGACTCTTAAACCTTTCCTGATATACTATAAGAAGCAGTTTCACTGCACAGAAATGGTTATAAAACTGACATACTAATTACAGACTAATATCAAACCTACCAATATTATCAAAAAATATTTGAAAAGATTTTATACAAACAACTGTATTCCTACTTTGTAAAGTTCAGCATACTAAACTCCAGCAGGTCGGCTTCAGATCCCCAAAAGAGTACTAATGATGCCCTTATTTATTTGACAGCCTTTGACAAAAATTAATTCTCAATTGGCCTCTTCATTGGCCACTACCCCACATTTCTTCTAACCTGCATTACTAAACCACCTTCAGACACAATGAAGATTAGCTTTAGGCTGCACAATGAAGCTTCCATAAGTAAGTTTATTGCTGCTGCTGGTAATATTAGCTGGAAGATTGATAATACGGCTAATGTCATTCTAAGTATGCACACATTTCTTCACAAAACTCAGAACCTATATAATACCCGCTGTCCAATTCTAACGAAATAACTCACAACCAAAAGCGTAAACAACCCATGGTTTACTAAAGGCATACATAAATCTATCAATAAAAAGCATGAATATGAGAAGTAGAGGTTAGGGGGTCATTTTCAAAGAAGTGTCTACTTGATACTCCTCAGTGCTATCAAAGATTAATTAGGAGAGTCAAAACAAGCTACTTTGAAAATAAGTCTAATAAAACAAAGGGTAACATATAGAAAACATGGAACATTATTTCCAAGACATTAGGTTCAACGAACTTGAACAAAAAGTATTCCTAGTCAGTGATGGAATGCCATCAACAACTGGCACTGCTATTGAATTCAAACGTTTTTCTTATCCATTGGCATATCTCTTGCTAATGAAGTTCCAGCATCCCTAACCAATGTTAAATTCTACCTTGGAGGCAGCTGTCCTGAGTCTCTGTACCTAATTCCCACTAATTTCTCAGATGTTAATGATATAATCATCTCAAAAGTAATTCAAGAACCCTAGCTGAGATACCAACCCTAATTTACAAAAAAAAACTCAAGATAGCTCTAGCCCTAACATTTTAGCTCTAGCATAACATCGTCAAAGTATCTCATACCATTTTGTCTATAGTTATTCATAACTGGGCACTCACAAATGTAGTTTTGGAGAGTGTGTCCCAGCCCTTGTTCGCATAGTTTACAGTTGGGATGCTCACCATTGCGGGATGCAATACGTGCAGCCACCTGCCATACGTATCGATATCCCAGCCTAAATACTTCAGTTCTAAATACTTCATAACCCTTTATACTAGTGCTTTCTGCTCTTTGAGTGTCAGCGACTGCTCATCTGTCAACCGTATTGTTCTGAAATAGTGCGGCTTTGACAGCAAATATTGGAATGCCTAGGTCAAGCTCAATTTGAGGTTTATCACATGCAGCTTCAGATGCCTTGCCCGCATCATCATGCTGGACAACACCTATGTAAGATGGTAGCCATACAATTGAGATTCTGAAACTCTTGCTTTGTGTACTAATTACTGGATGGGGTATCTGGTGGTGCCCGGGTTTCTCTCCCCCCTTTCCCTTCTCAGGCTTGGTAAGAATCGCAATAAGAGTCAATCCTATGGAAGTGGGGGGTAAATGGAGCCAATCCCGACCTGCCTATGACAGTCTCTTACTACCCTTCTGTCATCTTGAAAAGTTGTGTGAGGCTATCCCCAAGCATCTAGCCTCGAACTTTAGACAAACAAAACTTCTCGTTTATAGATGTACATGTTATAGATATAGATGTCAACTCCAGGATGAGTGACGCTGGAAGGAACATTACAAAATTTCTAGTATTTATTTTGCATGTTGGGTTTTCCAACGCTGACTTCGAATTACACAAAACTAATCCTGTACTTTTCAGTGTGCTCGTGGCAAGTTATAGTGGAGCTAATTATGTATGTGTGGAGCTAACCATGCAGTTGCTTAGTCTTACACACATAGTCTGTAAACATCTGTTGTCTTCGTATATTTTAGAGGCAGAGTGACCTGTTGACGTATGGACAAAACCATCAGTGTGAACCAGTCTATAGATCCATGGGACACTACGCATCTTGGTACAGGAGGCTATCAGATAGAAATACATAACCGAGATGGCAATTATATTTTTTTCCACGGGTCAATGCATATAACATACTCGTAGTCCTTGTATTAGGTTAGAACACATTATTCATGCGAGCCTTGAAATACGCGTGAAAAAGTGCTGCGCAATTTACAATATGGCTTCCATCCATAAAAGTTCTATGAGCCTCCAATAAAAAGATTCTCCCATTTTGCGCTAACAAGATAACGTAAACGCGTGGGTTGATAATTATAAATATTTTTTTTATAATGTTTCCATGTAAGGTAGTTAGTTATGTGTTCAGTTGCAAGGGTCTCTGTGCAGCTCGTCCTCCTAAGGTTTCCCAAAGTCATGAAACTCGTTCTGAAGTCCTTTATCCTAACCTACCAGAGGACCCAAAGCAGATAACGAGACGATATGTCAATTTCACGAGCCGGTACAATTTTATAGTACGACAGTGTTTGGCCTTAGGTAAAGTACGCGTCAAAATATGACGCTCTATTAGGAGGACGGGTTGCACTCGGATAAATACACATGAGCTACTCTCTGGTTGTCTTCTTTGGGTAGGGTGTTTGTACATACTGGTATGGTGGTGAGTCTACTTCAGGATGAGTGACGCTGTCCTTAAACTCACCCCTCGGTGGAAAGGTGAATGATATATGAGTGGAACTAACCTTGTAAGAGCCACTGACAGTCTGGCCATCCCTGGCCTCGTAGCGGGCCTGGTAGTTGCCGGTAGCCTCGGACTCCACGTTGTAGCCATACTTGTACTGGTCGAAGATCTGCCGGGAAGCATGCTCTGATTTATGAAGGTCAAGTACTCAAAATAGCTTGGCCCAAACCCACATAATAGAGACATAAAAACGCGACGACATTTCTGAGCGAGATTTTGTGACTTTTCATGTTTCTCATGCACGGCCATATGTGTTCATTGTTCCCTGAGACCATAGACGTGGTGTTGACGCGAGGCACAGTCTTTAATTTTCGGTATGTGAGAAGGAGTGTACAATGGAATATTTAGAGATATATAGTACATAGTGTATATATTTGCAACTGCTGCACGAACGCAGCCATATATCAGTTTTATTCCTGTTAGAGGCCGCCACCCTTACCGATCAGTCCAATCACTTCAACGGTTGGAAGACAGCCTCGTACTGAGTGAAATAATAATAATAATAATAATAATTACCAAATAATAATAATAATTACGAAATAATAATAATAATTACCAAATAATAATAATAATTACCAAATAATAATAATAGATTTACCAAACGATAAGGAGAAACAGGAACGAAGATGTGTGTGTCAGTTACTATCTAACAACACCCTCACACAGCCTCGGTAATTCACCCCTCACAACTCACAACTGTCGAGCAAGCAACAACTCTGAACAAACAAAGTGTGTATCATGAACAAATATACAAACTTACAACAAAATATAGTGAAATAAAAACAGTCGCAAATGTGACATTTTTCTGGCGAGTGCAGAGATTTCGTGGCCCCGTCAGCTCGCCCGTGCAATATACGACTGTAATGATACAGTCAAACACGCTTTGTAAACACTTTCTGGGACTTGAACCTGGTGTCAGGGGTTGAGGTATTTTTAGTGTTGCATTAATAGAAGTCGTGAAAACACCTTGCACAATTTCAACAGCCATGTTTAATCCTAAGTTCAGTGCTGCACAATTTGTAGCTTTAGGAGTGTACAACAGTGTGCTGGAGTATGGCGCTCTACTGTATATGTGTAACTCGAAGTAGCTCTCCACCCACACTATCGGTACTTAATATAACACAATGCACATTACAAAAGAAAGTACTGCGTGCTACATCAGTTCCCGAAGAACAATTGCAAGTAGCTACTGATGGCGGTGAAAGTGTTTCGACTCGTGACTCCTGACGCTGCCATAGGCGAACACAGCTTCATTACCAGACGCTGCCATAAACGAACACAGCTTCATGACCAAACGCTGCCATAAACGAACACAGCTTCATCACCAGACGCTGCCATAAACGAACACAGCTTCATGACCAAACGCTGCCATAAACGAACACAGCTTCATGACCAAACGCTGCCATAAACGAACACAGCTTCATCACCAGACGCTGCCATAAACGAACACAGCTTCATCACCAGACGCTGCCATAAACGAACACAGCTTCATTACCAAACGCCGCCATAAACGAACACAGCTTCATCACCAGATGCTGCCATAAAATGTTGAGGTAACTCCTCCAGCAGGAGGTCAGAGGCGCGGCCACCACACGAGCCCGGGTTAACAAGGGGACACGACTCGCCCATTGCCCCACCTGTCTGTGACTGCAACAGCCTAATTGGCACAGTAACAGAGTTGGTAGTGAGCGCTGCAGGTGAGTGAAGGCGCTCAGTACCTGGTGTGAGTGAGGAAGCTCAGTATCTGGTGTGAGTGAGGGAGCTCAGTACCTGGTGTGAGTGAAGGCGCTCAGTACCTGGTGTGAGTGAGGAAGCTCAGTATCTGGTGTGAGTGAGGGAGCTCAGTACCTGGTGTGAGTGAAGGAGCTCAGTACCTGGTGTGAGTGAGGGAGCTCAGTACCTGGTGTGAATGAGGGAGCTCAGTACCTGGTGTGAGTGAAGGAGCTCAATACTGGTGTGAGTGAAGGAGCTCAGTACTGGTGTGAGTGAAGGAGCTCAGTACCTGGTGTGAGTGAAGGAGCTCAGTACTGGTGTGAGTGAAGGAGCTCAGTACCTGGTGTGAGTGAGGGAGCTCAGTATCTGGTGTGAGTGAAGGAGCTCAATACTGGTGTGAGTGAAGGAGCTCAGTACTGGTGTGAGTGAAGGAGCTCAGTACCTGGTGTGAGTGAAGGAGCTCAGCACAGTACCACAGGTCAAGGACAATGTCTGCCAGTTGAGTGGTTACCGTGTTAAACTAAACAGTAAACACACTCAGGCGCACACAAAAACATAAGAGCGTCGCCAATAAACAAACCATCGATTTGAATCAATTAAATAATTCCAGCTACAGTCATATACTGAGGCATTAACCAGCTAGTCATATATTGAGGCATTAATACCAGATACAGTCATATACTGAGGCTTTATACTGACCTCTGAAACGAAACGTTTAAAATACTGAACAAGTTGGAGGATGTTGATCCGGACAATTTCTTCAAAAGGTCAGATGTAACACAAACAAGGAGCAACGGTTACAAGCTCAACAAGCCACAATGTAGGACTGAGAACAGATGCTTTTTTACCCATAGGGTTATAAACTCGTGGAACCGCCTACCCGCCGAAGCTGTAAATGCCAAAACTCTGTTATCCACAAAATGGGTATGGGGTGCATAATAAATTAACTAAACATTTTAAAATCCACCTGAAATAAAATCATCAGGGGGAAATGGGGAGACCTTTGACAAGCCGCCGGCTTCCTGTTCTTTATCGAGGCCACTAGAGTATTAGTGGCCCTCAGGTAAATTCAGGTAAATTACTATTAGATAGTCATATAGCAAGGCCTTAATACCGGCTCCAGTCATACAAGGAGGCATGAATGCCAACTACAGTCATATACAGTTAAATATTATCAGTGACTGTGCTATCGTAAGTATATGTACATTGTTGTGCGCTCTATGGTAAAGATATTGTCTGTTATCTTCCTAGATACTGTACTTATATCAGGCGCGCTTAACAGATAACACACTCCTGAGTCTCCCTCCCGAGACCTCTGTGGTGCTGCGGGTCATCAGCTGACTGAAGGGAAATCTTAAACATCTTTGTCTTAGTATCACTAAAGTCATAAAAACAATAGTTTAAAGTATATTGTCATCTCCAGTAGTCCTGCCCTTCATTGTGTACACCCTGTGAAGGTACACCCTGTGAAGGTACACCCTGTGAAGGTACACCCTGTGAAGGTACACCCTGTGAAGGTACACCCTGTGAAGGTACACCCTCTGAAGGTACACCCCTCGGAAGGTGCACCCTCTGAAGGTACACCCTCTGAAGGTACACCCTCTGAAGGTACACCCCTCGGAAGGTACACCCTCTGAAGGTACACCCTCTGAAGGTGCACCCTCTGAACGTACAACACCTTCCGTGTGGGGGTGTACATGAGGACCATAGCAGTCAGAGGGCACCACCAACAGTTAAGAGGACCGCAGACCGCCGCCTCCACCAATAGTCAGCTCTAAAACCATAAACAAACCACTAAATAAGAACGGAAACGCTTGTGGCGGGGAAATGGAGAAGTGTTAGCTAAATGTGGACAATATGTCACTGTCTAGGAGCTTGCAATATTAGCAACCCGTTCTCGCACTTGCTTATAGTCAATATTGACTTATTTAGTAAGTGCATATGTGACATACTAGTTGATTGTAAATATTTTAGTTTACCTTGAAAAGCTTCATAGAAAACACCGACCTCACCTAACCTTCTTAGTATGTTAAGATTAGCATCTTATTGCTTCTTAATTACAATTATTACTTAAGCTATACCGTTGATAGGTTAAGTAATAATTGTCAATAAGCAGCAATAAGATGCTTATCTTAACATACTAAGAAGGTTAGGTGAGGTCGGTGTTTTCTATGAAGCTTTTCAAGGTAAACTAAAATATTTACAATCAATTAGTATGTCACATATGCACTTATTAAATAAGTCAATATTGAAAGTAAGCAAGTGCGAGAACTGGTTGATATTAGACAGATTTTTTTTTATTAGATGTGGCAAATGTTTCTCTCGTTTCGTTCTTGGCTTCGTTCTCGACTCCCGGTAGGACATAAATGGTTGGGCACGTTTCCTTTCATCTAATGCCGCTGTTCACCTAGCAGTAATAGGTACCCGGGAGTTGGGCAGTCCTGTGGGGTTACATCCTGGGGGAAGGTTCCCCCAGGATGAAGGGTTCCCCAGGCTGGAGTTGGCCTCAACTCTCACCATTCATTCATTCCAATTGCTGTTGCTCACCTGACCCTTGCCCTGTCGTTCTCTTGTAACTAAAAACCTAAACATCTCTCAATCTACACTTGTGCCAGCCATGGTTGCATACTTGAGCACTAACCTCACAAAGGCTGTGGTGTACTGGAAGGTACGCTTCCCCACTGGCAGTACAGTTGGGTTCGTGCTCCACTCACAGTCGCGACAGAAATGGTTAGGCACGTTTCCTATCACGTAATGCTTCCGTTCACCTAACAGTAAATAGGTACCCAGGAGTTAGTCAGCTTGTTGAGGGGTTGCATCCTGGTGAGGGTAAGTAGTTCGTCCCTGGGGAAACCTCGATATAAGCGTAACATGTATACATATACAGGCTGCCTGTCACTCGCCAAAATTACTTAGTTTGATGTTCGCCAGCAGGTCTATGTGTCGTATGTGATATAGTCTCTCATCTTCAAGGCTACAGTCGGCATCCTGCCTGTGTGAATTGAAATTCCTATAACCAGTTCTAAAGCATGTTCTGTATGTTTGTTCACCTAAATGTGCGTGTAGAGACGACCTCTAGCTCTTGTCTCCGCCTCTCAAATTACCAGTCCTTTAATGCAATGACTCTACACTTGCATTTCTTGTCACATTTCAATTTAAAACGGAAAACGCCATTTGTGTTTGGCCTCGGCCCAATTGTTTACTCTTACTGTGTCGTAAAGGCAACTTCTGAACTCTGAGACCCAGGACTCATCAGGTACTTACCCTGCAGCGTGACGAGACCTCCTCAGCCTCTCCCTGTGCGGTAGTTTCCTCAACCCCAGAAGGGAGTCCTGTTGCATGTTTTTCAAACTATATACAATTTTGATTCGTGTCTCTAGGTAGTAGTTGATGCTCGTGCTAAGGCTTTCAGGGGGTTCATGTCGGTACTAGGCGACAGTGAACCCCTCCTATGTATTTTCAGTGTCAGAGTAATTAACAAATGGAATGCACTAGGAAGTGATGTGGTGGAGGCTGACTCCATACAAAGTTTCAAATGTAGATATGATAGAGCCCAGTAGGCTCAGGAATCTGTACACCAGTTGATTGACAGTTGAGAGGCGGTACCAAAGAGCCAAAGCCCAACACCCGCAAGCACAGTTAGGTGAGTACACACACACACACACAAATATGATAAGGAAATAGGAGAGGAGTGATTGATATAAACAATCCATTTCTAGAAAGCCGGGATCCAAGAATCAACGCTCGATCCTGTAGGCACAAATAGGTGAGTACATACACGAGAGAGAGAGAGAGAGAGAGAGAGAGAGAGAGAGAGAGAGAGAGAGAGAGAGAGAGAGAGAGAGAGAGAGAGAGAGAGAGAGAGAGAGAGAGAGAGAGAGAGAGAGAGAGATTCATAATCAGTTCAGTGAGTGTTTGCGTATATTACTTGCAACAACCAATCCGGATTACAACACTAAGATGTGCACACACGAGGAGTAAATAAAGTGTAGGCGTGTGTGGTGGAGTGGAGAGCCAGCACGCCAGCACCACGACAACCCGGCCGTGCTGGAGAGGTATAATTGACGCGCCTCAACCATCCCTTCGTCGTTGCTAATGAGACCAGTCCACCAGATTTATGGGGGGTGGTGTTGCGCATGTGTGACCCCTGCAACCACCACTCCGCCACATTCATTAACCAACCGGGACGGCTTCTCTCACGGAAGGACACTGATCTGGATATTTATAGAGATAATACAGTTAAATATTAAAAAAAAAACGATGCGTTTGTACCGGAAGATCATTTATACATTGCAGCAAGCAGTGAAGCCCAGTCTTCTCAGCACTATAAGGTGACCAAAGTTATCATTACGTCTGGGTACATCTGCTGTGGCAGGTGAGTACGACGGGCTCGCCATAGTCCGTGCTGCTCATTGGAACTGTTTGTTCCGACCAGTTGAATCTAAGACACCAACAACAGCATTATGTCTATAGCTTCAGGTGGCACAACCACCCCCTCTACCACCAATAACAACCTCCCCCCCCCACTTCCTAGTTCACGTGGGTAACAACAATCACGCCCTAAACGCCTCCACTTTCACCCACGCCCTCCCGCCGCCCGCCCCACTCCCCACGCCCTCCCGCCGCCCGCCCCACGCCCTCCCATGGTAATAGCCTCCACAACTGTACTTCTGCCTACATCTAATTATGTAACAAAACTCTTGTGGAATAAACCGTTAAAGTTTTTTACAATTGTTTAAAGTTCACTTTAGAATACAACGGCAGCTTGCGTTGATGGGGGCCTGCCGTTAGTACAACTGTCGATGTTATGCAAGTGTTGTATTGTTGATGCTCATTTGTTTTACCTCACACAGGCTGAACTTTCACTTAAGACAACGAAACAATCGATCATCATCCAACTGATTAAGGAATGTGTTTAACAGATAACAAGAAAGAATAATCTTAATGCATTAGATATTACCTCATAAGTAATCTCATATCCTCACACAGGAACAAATATGTGATGTAAAGTATGTGGAAGTGACCTCACCTGCACCAAGCCTAAGACACGGTTAACTTGTTGAGTATCTCCAGGTATCATCTCTGACTCTGGCAGGGACATAGATACTTTCTTAGCCGATAATTGTACTTTATAAAGATTCAGTAAGTTGTTGTTGTTTAAGATTCAGCTACTGGAAACAAAAAGTTTCAAGTAGCACGGGCTATGGTGAGCCCGTAGGATTCAGTAACTTGAGACACAGTTATAAGGGATGTATAAGGTGGGCGAGGCGAGGTGTAGCACTATATGTGCTCTCTTCACTGGCTGGACACACTGCCACCGTGTATTACATCTATCAATATTTAGAAAATAGAATGTCTATTTGGTCATTCAATCTTGCAAGGTGACATATGGTGGACGATGGTGAAGGGAGGGGGGGGGGTGGGGAGATGGAAAGTACGCGAGTGCCATAGGCCAGTCGGGGTGAGCCCCAGTGCCAACGTTTAAGAAATATCGGCATCTACAGCGATACCCCTGCAATTTTCATGGTTTGAAATTGAGGATGTGTTTTCGTTGAGTTAATAGCAGTTTTTCAGTGCTTCGTAACAGTACATTATTATTATGTATGAGAGAGAGAGAGAGAGAGAGAGAGAGAGAGAGAGAGAGAGAGAGAGAGAGAGAGAGAGAGAGAGAGAGAGAGAGAGAGAGAGAGAAGCAGGTTCACCCTAACTTTAAGGGTGACAAATTTGGGAAGACGCGCCTCATGCTGAACAAGCACCAATATTATGTCACAATCAATTTAATTACACGACACGAAATCAATACTAAACGTCCAAGACGGACCGCAGCGTCACCACTTTCATCCATGTTGGTGTGTGTATGCAGCAGCTGGCTTATTGTTGGTCAACTTACACTTATTTGTGGCGCTGGTATTTTAAGAGATAAAGAGCCAGGTGGAGAGGCCAGGTGGAGAGGTCAGGTGGTGAGGCCAGGTGGAGAGGTCAGGTGGTGAGGCCAGGTGGAGAGGTCAGGTGGTGAGGCCAGGTGGAGAGGCCAGGTGGTGAGGCCAGGTGGTGAGGCCAGGTGGTGAGGCCAGGTGGAGAGGCCAGGTGGAGAGGTTAGGTGGTGAGGCCAGGTGGAGAGGACAGGTGGAGAGGCCAGGTGGAGAGGCCAGGTGGAGAGGCCAGGTGGTGAGGAGACCATCTCCTCGACCTCCTCCACACCACCTCCTATAGCTGGTATGGCCAGGACGTAACACTCGATTATTTATCTCAGCCGTGTCTATGGTAGATGGTCCCCATGCTGTGAGCACTTTTGTGTGTCGCCTGATACCTCCTCCTCCTCTTAACACACACACACGTGCACACACACACACACAAAGGCTGTTACAAAAGTTGGTGCAACAGGCAAGAGTAAAAGGTAAGGTGCTCCAGTGGATAAGGGGGTATCTGAGCAACAGGAAACAGCGAGTAACGGTGAGGGGGGAGACATCAGAGTGGCGAGATGTCACCAGCGGGGTTCCACGGAACTCTGTACTTGGACCCATACTGTTTCTAATATATGTAAACGACCTTCCAGAGGGTATAGACTCATTCCTCTCAATGTTTGATGATGATGCAAAAATTATGAGAAGAATCAAAACAGATGAAAATAAACAGAGACTACAGGACGACCTGGACAAACCGGTGGAATGGTCTAGAAAATGGCTACTAAATTTCAACTCAGGAAAGTGTAAAGGAATGAAATTAGGCGAAGGGAACAGAAGGCTGAATACAATGAACCATCTGGGAGGTGATATTCTGCAAGAGTCAAATAGAGAGAAAGATCTGGGGGTCGATATCACACCGAACCTGTCCCCAGAGGCCCACATCAAAAGGATATCATCAGCGGCACATGCTAGACTGGCCAACATAAGAACTGCCTTTAGAAACTTGTGTAAAGAATCGTTCAGGACCTTATATACCACTTATGTAAGACCAATCCTGGAGTATGCAGCTCCAGCCTGGAGTCCATACCTAGTTAAACACAAGACAAAGTTAGAAAAGATTCAGAGGTATGCCACCAGACTGGTCCCGGAACGGAGAGGTATGAGCTACGAGGAAAGGCTAAAGGAGCTGAACCTCACATCCCTGGAAAACAGAAGAGTAAGGGGAGACATGATAACCACCTACAACATTTTCAGGGGAATTGACAGGGTGGACAAACTCTTCAGCACGGGTGGGACACGAACAAGGGGACACAGGTGGAAACTTAGTACCCAGATGAGCCACAGGGACATTAGAAAGATTTTTCAGTGTCAGAGTAGTTAACAAATGAAATACATTAGGCAGTAACGTGGTGGAGGCTGACTCCATACACAGTTTTAAATGTAGATATGATAGAGCCAGTAGGCTCAGGAATCTGTACATCAGTTGATTGACAATTGAGAGGCGGGACCAAAGAGCCAGAGCTCAACCCCTGCAAGCACAACTAGGTGAGTGCACACCATCTACATATGACATTTTCTCTTACCAGGCAGCAGCTAAGTACGTGGAGACCAAACATGTTACAGCAACAGCAACAAACACCTGCCCATATAACCCAAAACTCGGCAAACAAGTTTCCAGCGCTGCAGATCAGTGTATGCCGAACACCTGCAGAGTTAACATCTAATAACAAATAACAAGGTGAACAGTTCGTCGATGAAAATGACGAACAAGCAGAAGAACACCAATGAGGGTACTTGTACACCAGCGGGGGCCAGTGATGAGGCAGGAGGCTCCCTTCCTCAGCAAACCACAACGATACGTCATCAATGTGTTCGAATTTCTCAGTGGTGAATCAACATGCTCAGCTTGCGCGTTCACCAACCCCCCCCCCCCCCCACACACACACACGATTCCCAGGATTGGCAGGATAACCAATGACTAGAAATCTAGTCAAACTTCACGAATGTTGAACAATTGCAAAGTACACCACATATCGTGAAGTCACAAAACCAAGAAATTGAGAGCAAAATAAACAATCTTCAATGAATAAGCACCATTGACAGTTGAGAGGCAGGACCAAAGAGCAAGAGCTCAACCCCCGCAAGCACAACTAGGTGAGTACAGGTGAGCAACAGGAAGTGTTCAGATATATCGAAAACTAAACAAATTACACCAGTGTTTAAATTAATATTCCAAGACGAGCTTGACCGGGAAAAATTACTTGACACAGAAGGCTTTGGGGGGGATTTCCCCGCAGGGTAGTGACGGGGCGAACTGCCAGCATCGTGGCAGCTCACCTACGGAGCTCTGAGACAACATTCAACCAAGAGTCATGCTAGCAGCGTATAGAGTAGGTAAGAAGACTCTCACTGGTGTAAACAAAAGGAAAACTGATGTTAAGCTATAGTTAGCTGTTCGAGAAAGACAGACCTTGTCAAAACTGTCATGTCTAGAGCGGGTGTCTAGGGACCCCACCTCAGGGGCCCCATCTCAGGGGCCCCACCTCAGGGGCCCCACCTCAGGGGCCCCCACCTAAGGGGGGCCCCACGCAGGACCCCACCTCAGGGGCCCCATCTCAGAGGGGCCCCAACTAAGGGGGGCCCCACGCACCCCTGGTCTCAAACTCTCTTCACACACCTGCCATCTTATTCTCCATTATGTTTAGCTATTATCATTACGACTAATGTTCTCGCCCAATTCATGAGTATTTATTGTTTTTGTATCTAATTTACTATATTTAAATTGTATTAGTTTCATTTTCTCAACTATTTTAGATAGACCTTAGTCTTTTCTAGCCAACGAAATCTTATTATAATTTGTTTGTTTTGTTACTCCTAAGTTACATTAAATACTAATTAACTTTGCTCTTAATAGTACATTAATGCATCTGTTTTACTCTTGTGGCTTAATCGCTAAGTTACAATTTTTTACAAAAATAGATAGATTTAGTATTTTCTAGCTATTATGAATTGAACTTTACCTGTCTGTAAAATATTATTTTAGCAGTAAGTTATCCATCTTAAATCAGGGTTCCTGATGTAGTTAAACATAGACCTTCAATTAAACCTAATATCAAATATTGTTCACATGGATATCTATGTCAGTAATCACTTTAATGACTAACGGGAAATTAAATACCAATACCATGGCTTGAGATTTGTCTTACTGAGGATTTGTCTTACTGAGGATTTGTCTTACTGAGGATTTGTCTTACTGAGGATTTGTCTTACTGAGGATTTGTCTTACTGCGGATTTGTCTTACTGAGGATTTGTCTTACTGAGGAATTCTGCACTGTTCTTGTATTCTGTGTATTTATGTATGGAATTTTGTTTGTATAAAATTATTTTTATTACTGTTATTGTTATTATTATTATTATTTTATTGTTATTAATATGAGATTTTTATATTGATCTCTGTCAGCGTGATAACGAACTAGTTGCTAGCTTTCTCAACTGTAGGAACTCTTGCATGCAAATATCCTTGATTACTAAACCGATTGGAGTTACTCAAGAGACTGCCTCTCGTCTTAACCACATATGGACAAACATAACCTCTCCGCTAACTTGTGGATGAACCACAGACGGCACAACAGACCCTGCATTCTTCTAACATTAACAAACCACCGATAGAATTAGTCATTAGCTTTAGACTGCACAATGAAGCTTCCACAAACAACTTCATTGCAGCTGTTGATAACGAACTGAAACTTATCATCCTAGGTGTACAAACACTACTTCACAAAACTCTAAGCCTCATGTCTATGTATATATTAACACGGTGTACTGAATGGGGTGAGAATAGCTTGAGCTACCTCATCCCTTTGTGTGTATTTTACCTCAATAAACTTATTTCAATTTCAATTTCAATTTCTAAGCCTCTATAATACTTATTGTCCTATGCTAACTAAACCAAAAGGACAAACAAACTATGGGTTACTAACGGCATACTTATAGCAATCAACAAAAAGCATGAACATGGAAAAAAATACAAGACATGAGTAATTTCCAAGAAACCATTAAATCGTCATTGCTAAGATCATAATAAGAGCCAAAACAAATAGTATGAAAATAAATTGAATAAAATAAAGGGTAACATGTAAAAACATGGAACACTATTTCCCAGATATTGGGTTCAAAGAAGAACAGAACGCTGTTAAAAATAATATTCCAAGGTGGTGACGAGGGACTGCTAACAACACTGGCACTGCTATTAAATTCAACAGTTTCCTCTCCTCAACTGGCACATCCCTTGACAATGAGATCCCAACATCCCAAATCAATGTAAATGACTACCTCTCGGGAAGCTAAACAAAGGCTATGTATCTATCCTAAACAAATTCTTCAGATGTTAGATATATTATTCTCTCAACACTAAATCAAGTAACCTCTCGGAGACACCAGACCTAATTTATAAATCCTTTATTATCACAGCTTCGGCCATAACATTATTTGAACTCCGAGTCGTTTCTGATGTTCTTAAAAACGACAAGTAATCCCAGTCCATAAAAGTAGTGATCTCACTGAAATCAACAACTTTAAATCAATATCAATACTGCCCAAATTGTCCAATATATTTGAAAGCTAATGCACAACAGCTTTACTGCTACCAATCAGCTAAACATAGTATACATAGCTCTTGCCAATATGGCTTCAGACCTCCAAAAAGAGCACCAACAATGTGTCAATAAGTATACAGTATTTGTCTTGATACATCAAAATCATAACAAAAATGAGTATCGCAAAGGTCTATTTGTTGACCTTCGTGCTGACCTTTGACACCGTTAACCACAATAATCATCTTCACAAAATGCACCACTATTGGATCACGTATACCTTCTGTAACAATTCAGTACTTTCTGTAACTCTTCAATACTTTCTGTAGCCCTTAAATATTTGCTGTAACCCCTCAATATTTGCTCTAATTCTTCAATACTTTCTGTATTAGCTCAGTGGCTGGTACCAGGAGTATGCTTCTGCGAACGATGGTACTTCTCAAACACTTAACACTGCCGTTCCATAGGGTAGTATGCTATGTCCCCTCCTTTATAATTTACATCTATGAGCTATGAAACACCGCAG